AACATTTTGTTGTAAAACATGCACAGAAGCTCAATACTTTAACATGACCAAAAATTTGTGAGAATATTGTTAAATTTCGGAGTATAAAAACTGTATATTTTGTAGGAAAACTTAAATTGGATAATAAATCTTTATTGCAAAATTACACCCATAAGGGTCAAGCAATACAAACAAACAATGATACAATTAAATACAATACAATGCAATACAATAGAACATATTTTAAGGAAGAGTTCAATTTCAAATTTATGTAAAAAACACAATCATAAACTTGTCTGACATGGGTCTGACCCCTCAGTTCTAAATACTGCTAAATGAAGACTCCAATATGACAAACAAGTTCAGGGATGGGGTTTAGAATGTGTTTTAGTTTATTAAATGCATCAAGATGTTGAAATAATGGTACATATAAATAAGAATATGTGGTATGAGTGCCAATGAGACAACTATCCATTCAAGTCACAATGTGTAAAAAGTAAACAATTATAGGTCAAAGTACGGCCTTCAACACGGAACCTTGGCTCACACCGAACATCAAGCTATAAAGGGCCCAAAAAAGACTCTTTCAGATAAGCAAAAGAATTTGAACGCAATGCTATGTCAATGTCACAATACAAAAAGAAATGAAATTCGTCATCTAGGACTCCACATTTTTTACATAATCTTTGTGCCAAATCACTTAGCTAATATAGCAAAACAAATATTGTCTACACAAACTTTTCACGTGCCTATTGGGTGGACGAATTCACATTGGATTTTTTCCGGAAATATTAAACATTTAAAACAAATACAACCTGTGTGCATTCCTTGCCATCTATATTAGAGATGGCAATTTCCTAGATAAAATACAATGGAAACGTGATGATATCAATACAGTGGAAGCGAAACAAGATAAACATATAGGTTATATAAACCATTAGATTTTATGGGCGCAGCCATTTTATGAACATGTTATTCAGAATTAAGAGTATGGCTAATCCTGATTGGTCGATATGTGCGCCCGTTATTTTTTATTATTAGAGACTTCGTGCACTCTGCATTATGCCAAAGGCCAAATAAATTTTTTTCAACTGAGATGTCTTTTCAACGCTAGGATTAGACACGTGTTTTAAGTGCAAAATTGATAGGCATGGGAGATAAGTACAAATTACGTTAAGAAAAGCAACGGGAACCTATATTTTTTGGACCAAAAAATACTGTCCGAATAATTTTTCTTTAATTCTAGCAAGGTTTCGTTAAAAAAATCAACTTTCTAAAGTCTGTATCTCGAAAAAGGCTATCATTGTCGCCTATGGGGAAATTAATTGTTTATTACAATATTCAAAGATATACATACATACGTATATATGGCCCGTGTTTGGACATTTTCTTGAACAGTTTCGAAATTCGCCTCTTCATTTTATTGCAAAACTTATTTTTATCAATCGTTTAAAATTTGCAAGAGACTGTGCGTGGTCATTGATATATTCAGTCATGCATGTTTCGGTTGTCAATTTGCATTAGAAATGTACAGCATATTGTGTGACATAATAATAGAAAATTTACTCTGGACCTCTTTGCTGATCAAAGTTAATACGACGATGACACTGAGATGATAAATAGAGAATCCCTATTTTAAATTATTTAAAATTTTGATTGAATATTTTGAACCGATTAAGCTTAAGCTCGATTTTCGTCTTTTTTTTACTTTTATCGTTTCAGAGTAATGGTACTTGATTGTTGGAAAAACTCAAAATTTTGTGATTTCTGGATGATAAATGGAGAACCCCATTATGAAATTAATTGAAATATTAAATTGAATGTTTTGGACAACAAAAGACAGGTTAAGTTCGATTTTTATCGTTTGCACTTTTATCGTGACAGAGTTATGGTACTGTACTTGATTGTTGGAAAAAATAAAATTTTGTGGTTTTTAGATCCTTGATTTTGATGGAATTTCCACTAAACACAGATGACGTTTAATTTTCGTCGAATTAACTGTTCATTTTAGAATTAAGGAACTTGATTGTTGGAAAATATCTAAATTTTGTGTCTTCTGGATAATAAATGGAGAACTCCTTTTTGAAATTGATTGGAACCTTGATGGAATGTTTTGGACCAATTAACAAAATCATGACCTCTTGTCTCGGAAAAGACCCTATAACTGAGCTCAGTGACTATGACTTCGATGCATTTAAACGATTGTGCTATATAAACAGGATAAAATCTGCAACCGAATACAAAATGCGATTGTATGATATTGATAAAACAGCCAACAATGTGGTGTTGATATGACGTAAATACTACACGGAAGTCCTTAAAAATGAAATTATACATTCAACTACATTCAAGGCCGTACGCTCCACAAAGAGTCATATAGTAAATAATCATGTCATTACCACGGCTCAGCTTAAGGCCTCCTCGGGACATTTGAAGGTCCCCACTATGTATTGGTTACCTAAACTAAACAAAAAACCCGTAAAATATCGTTTCATCTCGCCCTCTAGTAAGTGTTCTACTACTAATCTTTCGGTGCTTTTAACGAGTTCCTTAACTACTATCAAAAAACTTTTCGTTAATTTTTGTAAAAAAAAATATGAAAACAGTGGAATTAACCATTTTTGGAGTGTAAAAAATTCTTTGGATGTTTTAGATAAATTTCGTGCATTTGATGGTCCTTGTGATTCGGTTAACAGTTTTGACTTTTCCACTCTTTATACTACACTTCCACACAATCTTATCAAACAAAAGTTTTTCTATCTAATTAAATGGTCGTTTGATAAATCTGGTTGCATATTTATTTGCTGCAACTCATATAAAGCCTTTTTCTCTAATGAGAAAGGTAAATATGCTAGATATACTTACTGGAGGTGTGATGAGATGATTAAAGCACTAAATTTTCTCCTTGACAATATTTATGTACGTTTCGGCAATAAAGCATATCGACAGATTGCAGGTATTTCTATGGGCACCAATTGTGCCCCTTTAATAGCAGACTTGTGCCTTTACTGTTATGAATCACAGTTTATGGCCAAACTCAGTAAAGAATCGTCTAAATTCCATTTAATTGATAAATTCAACAACACTCACCGTTATCTTGATGATATTTTTTCGTTAAATAATCAAGAATTCTCTAACTATACTGCTGAAACTTACCCAAAGGAACTTAATTTAAATTAATCTAATATCAACAGCAATAACTGTCCTTTCCTAGATGTTAGATATTTCAGTATTACACCAGAAACTCTACACAAAAATTTACGACAAAAGGGATGATTTTTCTTTTCCTATTGTTAATTTTCCCTTTTTGGACGGTAATGTTCCTTTTGCACCGTCTTACGGTGTTTATATATCCCAACTCGTTCTCTATGCTCGTGTTTGTAGTGACGTTTTGGATTTAAATGAGCGTAATCTATGTATTACTAGTAAATTATTAAGTCAGGGATTTCGTTACCACAAATTACTTAAAACCTTTACTAAATTCTTTCATAGATACAACGATTTGGTCTGCAAGTTTGGCTGTACCTGTAGAAAACTTATTTCAAACGGAATAGCACATCCTACATTTTACGGTGATGTTGTAAACTGAGCCCAGAAATTTAGATACGATCCGGGAAAACTTATCAATCCTTTAAATAAACTTGTTCTAAAAGGTTACCTATTCAACACCGAAATATTGAATATTGTTTTGATTTGTGTAAATATTGATTTTGTTATCAGTAAATTACTGAATACTAAATATTACACATATGTACTTTCATGGTTCTACAATTTGTCGATACTTATAGTTTGGCATTGCACAAAGTCATGTTTTTCTCTGACTGTTAATGACGTCTTTACACTAAATCCATTGGATGTTGGATGTGTACATATGATATTTAAGTCTTAGATACATGATTTTTTTCATTAGTTGTTATTGGCTTTGAACTAGCTGTCAGTAACTGCGAGTAATCTCATATCTGTACTTAGGGTCTTTTTGTTTTTGGGATGTATAAGTACCCGTCCACGTCCACTTTTGTTAGTTGTATTTCTATTTGTATCCATCTGATGAATTAAGCCTTTTTCAACTGATTTTGATAGTTTGTACTTATGTTGTGCTGTTACACCACTGTCCCAGGTTAGGGGGAGGGTTGAGCGCTCACAAACATGTTTAACCCCTGTTATGTACATGTATTGTCGTATGTGTTTTATAGTAAAGTCGTTAGAGTTGTGTCCCTTTCGATGATGATGCATATTTGTCATGAATGTAATCTGTCTCTTCTGAATAAACGTGCCATAGCAATAGATGTGTTTTTGTTGCTTTCAAGCAAATATAAGCTTGTCACTAAAGTAGATGTACGTAATACCCCGCCACATTCTTTATGTGCCTGTCCCAAGTCAGGAGCCTGTAGTTCAGTGGTTGTCGTTGGTTCATATTTGTTTTTCGTAAACTTTTTTATTATAGATTATGCCGTTAGTTTTCTCAATTGAATTGTTTCATATTTTTCATGTCGGGGCCTTTTATAGCCGACCATACGGTATGGGTTTTTCTCATTGTTGAAGGCCGTACGGTTGCCTATAATTGCTTACACCCACTTCATTTGAACTTTGATGGATAGTTCAGTTGTCTCATTGGCAATCATACCACATCTCCTTATTTTTATAGTATTTTAAAATTTGCTGATCTCTTGAATTTATTGATGTTATTGTGCTGCACCAATATAAAAAAAAAGTGTGTCCACTCATTCTAAAATGCTTTATTAATTTTCTAAAATTTGAATTATTGAGATTTTGCACATGTTTTATCGCCAGCATACAATTTACCCAGTAATCAATTAATTTTTCGTTACATCTAAATATTATCAATAATTGTTCAGAATTTAAAATTTGTATATTCTGATATTAATGTTTTGATTTATTGTTCATAATTTTATAGTTCGTGTAATCTTTATCTAGAGGAAATACATAAATAAATGAATGAACAGCAATTAGAAATGTACAGTTACTGTATTTTTTTTAATTTCTGTTACTCTTTCCTGTAGGAAGAGCTAGATCATTTAAACCACTGCAGTGCTGAAATTAATAGACTGGAAAATGAGATTGATGTAAGTTTTTTATCTTAATTATTTCAAATGTCATTAATACCATCACCCTTTGATAAAAAAAACCCACTGTTTTTGGTTTTTTTGATAATGACAAAATTGTTTGTTCTTATATTGCCATTTTTTTTTGTTAGTTCTTATATTGCCAGTTTATTATTTGTTCTTATATATTGCCAATGTATTGTTTGTTCTTATATTATTGCCAATTGTTTGCTTTTTCTTATATTGCCAATTTATTGTTCATATATCACCTTTCGGTAGGGCATTCCACCCCCGTTTATGATAAAGCACACGTCGTGATAAATTACTTGTTTTGTTTTGTATTAAAAACCACATACAAACAAACGGTATTCTATTATCTGTATATGGTTGCAGGAAGCACGAACTAAATACCGGCAGACGTTTCATGAAACATCCAATAGAATGTCTCTGGTGTCGCAGAAAAGACGGAAAAGCATAGCTAAAGCACGAGAGTATTTTGAACTAAAACATGAAGGAAAACAGGTATAGAGAGATATATAAACGATGATTTACCTTTCTTGTCTGATCAAAAGAAGAATATTGACTTTTTTTATTATTGATAGTTGATCTATTATCCATTCTTGAAAACTAGATGCTGTTTATAATCGTTTATGTTTTCAATGAAAGAGATAATATAAAATTGGTGTATTATGTCAAAGTTTATATAATTTAACTTGAATCTAATGGATCTTTTATTTTGTCATATTTCATTTTGTTTTTATCAACTTTATAAAAGGATGATCTCATACCACAAATATCAAAGAGAAAAATACAACCTCAACGTTTATATATTTAGTTGCATTCAAAAAAAAAATATATGATAACTATATTGAAATGAAATCTTGTGTATTCATCTGATTATTTCAGATAATCGATGATTGTTTTATCTATGTTTATTAATAATATTTTCATAGGCTCAGGGTGAAAGCCTAAAAGCTGCCAGACAGTACCAGTCAGCCATCGGGATATACAGAGCGGCCAAAGAGACTGTTGCCTTAGCAGAAGATAAACTGGTAAAAGGAGGAGAATGTCAATTGTCTTCTGCGTGGCAGGAAATGCTAAATCATGCAACAGAAAGAGTATTTATTGTTTTAATATCATAAATCCCTTACCTTGCTTCAGTTAAGCTGCAAGTATCCGTTTTAAGAGGGAATTGATTAAAAGATATTCTGCATTATGAATAATACAAAATGTTGGATATACGCCAGTTAGACAGTTACTCAGCAACACAATAAAACCAATAAGTATGTGTTGTCTACAACAAAAGAGAACTGTCAATACCATATGATAAGCTCAAAATTTCCAGAGTTTAAGAATAAAACTGCACAGAGTTTAATAAAATTTAGAATAAGATAAACAGAGTCTTGCAACTTTCGCCCATCAAAATCAATATCAATTTCGTCATGACATCGAAGATGCATATACAGAATCCGCAGAATTAAGCTAGTTTAAAGCTCACCCGGCCCTCCTCCGGCGCCAGTCGTCGTCTTCTGAAACTTTTTTCTAAGATCTTCTCCTCTGAAACTATTGGACCAATTTCAGAAAAACTTTGGGTGAATCATGCCTAAGGTATCGCGTATATTTTTTTCTGTTTATCCCCTGTCAGTCAACAAACATGGCCGACATGGCTAAAAATAGAACATAAGGGTAAAATGCGTCAACTGTCTTATATCTTGAAAAATATACATGTAATAGATAAAAAAAAATTCGATAGAGGCACAAATGCTCAGAATGTCCAGATCCACCTTCTTCCTGTTTGTATCAAAATTATCAGATGACCCCTAAAGGACTTATTACACTTAAATGACGATTTTTGGCTCATTTTCATGTTTTTCTCTACCAAGAAACTCAAAAATAGTATTGGATAGGTAGAAACTGGTAAGAAAGAAATGACCAGTAATTGAATGTCTACAAAAATGCCAGTATGACCGAAACCAATGGATGATCCATTAAGGAGTTATCGCCCGTGTATTACGATTTTGTAATCTTTTTAGTTGTTGCCTATTATCTCAAAAGCTAGAATGAATAGGTAGAAAATGTATAGAGCAAAAACAATCAGAAATACAAGATCTACAAAACACTGATACAATCTAAACAACTGGATGATCACATAAGGAGTTATAGCCTTAAATGACGATTTTTGACTAATTTACTTGTCTGTCATATAATTTTTCAAATATCTTCTACTCTGAAACTGCAAGACCAATTTCAACCAAACTTAGAGGGAATGGTCATTAGGGTATGTAGTAAAAATGTTGGGATCTTTTCCCAGTTAGTCAACAAACATGGTCGCAATGGCTAAGAATAGAAAATAAGGGTAAAATTCATTAATTGTCTTATATCTAGAAAACTATATAAGTTAATAGAAATTCTGATCAGCAAAAAAAGTTTGAAATGCCAATATCTACCTACTTCCTGTTTGATCAGCAATATAAGTTCTCCTAAACTGCCAACATGCCCGAACCCCAAAATGACGATTTTTGACTAATCTACGAGTTTTTGCTCATTATTTCAAAAACTATAATATATAAGTATAAATTGTAAACAGCAAAAAGTATAAGCAATAGAAGACTTTTATGAATTATATATGGTCAAAATATTAGATGACTCCTTAGAAGACTTATTGCCCTTAAATTGCGATTTTTGACTAATCTTCGAGTATTTGCCTATTATCTTGAAAATTATAATAGATAGGCAGAAACTGTTTACAGCACAAATAATCGGTATACAATCTTCTAAGAATGCCAATAATCAATATGTCAGAAACCATCGGCCGACCCCTTATAGTAGTTATTGCCCGTGAGAGACGATTTTTGACAAACTTTCGAGTTTTTGCCTATTATTTCAATTTTGACATGAGAGCTATTCAGGCTCTCATGAGCCTTTTGTTTTTAGTTCGCAACCTACACTTTTTTACAGAAGAAATACATAGAATGAATTATTTCGGAAAAAAAAACTTTGAACTTTTAATAGCGATATAACACACGACAAAAACACAAAGCTTAAGTAAAACAATACTAAATAATACTACTGTATCACAGACCGCTCTTAGGTACTGAAAGCAAGCTCAGAGTACTAAATATGCTTATGTATCATCCATTTCTATACTATAATATCGACCGCTGCTCTTCTAAATAGATTGTATGCATCAGTGTCAAGAAAATTGCAGTCTATAGAAGAAGCATAAAGCCCTATCTATATCTTGTGTACATAAATTCGATACAAAACGGAAAATTAATATAGCATTATAGTCGCAATAAGTGATTTGATATTAATCTAACAGAAAATACTATTGAATCTAAGAACTCGTTTTTGGTGAACTTTAAATTTCACATATTTTACTAGAAACTTAATAACAGTTATTAATTTTGTACGTCTTGCTGCAATGGATGCAATGACACAATGTTCTTCTAAGTATACACTTGGATTATAATTCTCGTTTATTTACCCCTTGTTACAAAAAGTACTTTTTTTTACTATAAGGTTATGGAGTCAGAGTTGGAAAAACGCAGGAGCGAAGATCATCATTTAAAGATGACAAAACGTTGCGGGCAGTTAGAAAACCAGCTTCGTTTATTAGAAAGATCAAAGAAAAGATATATAGCAAACGCAAGGTAAAATAAATTTTTCATTGATTATCTTTCTCAAAACAGTGCAGTAACGATGCATTACGTCTTTTTATTTCCATGTTTTGCTATTTCTTGCTCGTTTTCCCCAACAAAGATTCATAGTACATACTTTTTAGTGAGCTTTTGTCATCACTTTGCGTCCGTAGTCGTCGTAAACTTTTAAAAAATCTTGTTCTCTTAAACTACTTTGCCAAATGTAACCAAACTTTACCTGTATTTTTGTTATGCTATCTTCTTTAAAAATCTGGGGATTTGATCTATCATTGAATATGGCCGCTGTAGCTAAAAACAGAACAAAGGGGGTGAAATACAGTTTTTGTCTTATATCTCAAAAATTAGATGTGATATGGGTAAAAATTATCAAGGTCTATCACTTGCGGAATTTTTAAACCACTTATATAAGAGTTATTGCCACTGAAATGTAAATAGTTTGGCTTATACCTCAAAGACTTAATCAGTAAGAACAAATCTGACAATAAATTTCGCAGTTTTTGGTTTTTAACTGCGATAGAGAGAAATTCAAAACAGTGACAGAAATCGTCAATTGACTCTAAAACACAGCTATTGTAGTATTAATCTATGTACATTTGTAAGGATCCATATAAACTACATTCCCAAAGATGTATACAAAATGTTCATCTGTAAAACTGTATATAAACTGCATATCTGTTACAATACATCTAAACTGTACATATGGGGCCCTTTACAGCTTGCTGTTCGGTGTAAGCCAAGGCTCCGTGTTGATGGCCGTACTTTGACCTATAATTGTTAACTTTTTACAAATTGTGACTTGGATGCAGAGTTGTCTCATTGGCACTCATACCAAATCTTCTTATTTATATTTGTAAAGCTTTATATAAATTGTACATTTTTAAATCTGTAAAAAAATCTGTACATCTGAAAAGATGTATATATACAGTAACTGTTCATTTGTTAAGCTTTATCCTGCAATCGACCTCTCTACTATACTAATACAGGTGTACAGGTAAGACGAAGCGATATACGTATACTAGACGGATACAGTCTCCTGGTATCCTGCTTCTGTGGAGAGCGAACGGTTATGTCAAATTAATGTTTACGTTACAGGTCAATTTGGGGTCCTCATCGCGGTCCGCGCTTAAGTCATGTCGATTTCTTTCAAAAACAAATTCAACGATTGGGATGGAAAAAAATGTACAAAATTCATTGCAGGATAAAGACAATAACTGTATAGTGTCTTTAAATATCAGCTGTATTTGTACTCGGCTCGAAACAGGAGTAATAGCTCGCTGAAGTTCGCATTACACCTGTTTCTTAGCCTCGTACAAATACAGCTGATATTTAAAGACACTATACAGTTATTGTCTATGTTTATAAATTGTACATCTGTAAATATGTAATATTATACACCTATTGACTGGTTATGAGGGTAATAGCATGTTTGTTGTCCCTGAGATACCAATTATTGCTCGAGGCGAAGCCGAGGGCAATAGTAAGTATCAAAGTGACAACAAACTTGCTATTACACTCATAACTAGTCATTAAGTGTTTTATTATACCGAACAAAACAACTTTCTAAAAAATACTACATGTTTACACCACTTGGAAAAACACCAAATAGTAACATAGACATGCACAAGATCAACTATCAGGTTTTTGTTATTTGCCCGTGTGGTATTTGCCAATATTTTGATTACTGTAATCAAGACTAGGAATCCTTATGTAAAAACTCCCGTACATATAATAAACGCTAGATAAAATATTTTACCATACACCAAAGAGGCTTGTTTAGGGGAGGGGGGGGTATCATATCCCATATCCCATTAAGTTTTTGTCCCAATATCCAATATCCCTATAATGTTTACCCCTAATATCCCAATAATTTTTTTTTACAAATATCCCGTATCCCTAAAACTATTTTGAAATATCCCAAAAAATCATTAATTCATTCCCAAACCCATTTTTATATACAACATTCGTAAATACATGTTGTGCGTTGTAGTATGGATGTCAAGGATGTGGACTTTTTCACAGAGAAAAGTTAATCATTCAGAATTATCCAGAGACCTTTAAATTTTAATCTACATGTCTCTGGAATAACCAATATATAACTAAGCGTTTGTAACAAATAAAAAGTTACTGTAGAGATAAGCGTGAGCCACCAAATGTGAGCTCATCAAAGGCACATAGCTAAGAGAATCACCCAATGTGAACTCACAGATGACACGTCGTTTTAATAGAAATGATAAGAAGCAAAAAATCCAATTCTACAATAAAAAAAGAACGGAATGAATATAATATGCAGCAAAGAGCTGCACATGCAAAAAAGCATATAGTTAATCTATTAAAACGCAAATTATCAAATCAGGAATATATCCTGTTGGCGAAAGGCTTGAAATTTATACCAACGCCATCAAGCAAAAATGCAAAAATGTCTATACTAAAAGACTACAGTGAATTTGCTAGACAACTGCGATGTCGATATATGTTCAGTCATGAAGAAATAATATGTAAGGGTTCCGCGGAACCCAGTGTCTCGCCTATTTTTGCTGTTAATCGCAGGCTCAACAAAAATGAGGAATAAAATTAATAAAAATATTCCTCTCGATACTATCTTTTGATTGTAAGAAGCTTCTGTCCAAGTTTGGTAATAATTCAGGATAGTTTATGAATCTAATAAATGTTTTAAAAACTTTAACTGCAGACTGTATGTAATGTTAACTGGAAGAAAAACTAAGTCCATTTATAAGTAAAATACAGAAAAACAGGTACAAAATTTTAACAAAATTTCCTTCTAGATACTAGCTTTTGATCATAAACACGCTTCTGTCCAAGTTTGGTACAAATCCAGGATAGTTTAAGAAAGTTATTAAGATTTCAAAAACTTTAACCACAGAGTGAATATTTGTGGACGCCGCCGCCAACGACGACGACGCCGACGACGGAATGTAGGATCGCTATGTCTTGCTTTTTCAACAAAAATCGAAGGCTCGACAAAAATGACCTTCATCCATTTCATAGCAATACAGGATATAAACCTGCTTTTACGTGCCATACGTCTGAAAATTATATCGATTTAACAAAGCTTGAATTATCTTTTCTAATAAATAAAAAAAAACAAACAATCTTACTAAGGGCGAAAGAATAGCAAGTACGCAATTTGAAAAATGATGAAACAATAGTAATAAAAAAGGCAGATAACAATTCAAATTGTGTTATTTCAGACAGACTAGACTACATAACAGAAGTCACAAGACAACTAAATACTCAACATTACTGCCTATTAGATTCATTTAAAGGGGCATTGGTTGTCAAATTCATGTTCATCGATTTGACTCAAATTCTCATATTTGATTTATAGCATACTAAAACATATATCCAAATTATAAAAAGTATAAAATAAATAATTTACAAGGCATGGGCTCGATAATATGTTTCATCGTTTCTAGTGTATTTTAGTCTAGACGCCATCTAATTAACTATCGAGTTGACCTCCGAAGACTGCCGACGGTCATATAAGCGATTTATAAACATAAATATAGATATAAATAGATAGCAAACTCGTGCAATAGGATTTTTCTAGGACTGTTTAATTTTATATTATAGGTTAAAAATATAGGGACGATGGATTCATAATATATGATGGAACATCAGATGAAATTGCAGATTCTTTTCGTCTAGCAAATAATTATAACCCCTTATTGAAGTCCACCTATGAAATCTCAAACGACAAAATGTCGTTCTTAGATGTTCATGTAATTAAAGGTCAAAGATTTACAACACATGGCATTCTTGACCTTGAAATACATTTTAAAGAAACAAATTCTTATCTCTATCTGCATAGAAATAGCTGTCACTCACAGCCGAGGATTTATTAAAGGTAAAGCAATACGGCAAATTAGAAACACAAATGACGATAACAATTTAATAAACAATCTAACTAATTTCAAAGTGAAATTATTAGATAGGGGATATGATAACGTCGAAATAGATGATAGTATTACTGATGATTTATCAATTGACCGTACTGAATTATTACAGCAAAATAAATCGAAGGAAAAAGAAAATATTCCGTTAGTTTTGATAACTATATATATATATACGTAAAATAAAGAAACGGGCATTTATTACAGTATGACGAAGATTGTGTATAAATATTCAATGCTGCACCAATAGTTGCGTATAGCAAACATAAAAGTGTTGGAGATATGCTTAGTAGATCAAAGATGAAGACTTTAACATAAAATTGACAGTTGGACCCCTGATGATGGCAGATCTGTCATAATAACTAGACCTATTGATGAAGAATTAAAATATAAATATATCAATATATACATGAATAATTTTCATATTTGACTATATTAAAAAAATGCATCTAAAATTACCATCCCAAGCCAGAGCCTCTAATCCCAAGCTTTAACTGCCGAAACACTACAATAGTGATCAATAGTACGTGTTGGGTCCTATCATGCAATTTGGGATGCGTGGTTGCATGGGTGTTTTATAATAAAAAAAACTCATTGAAAATCAACAAAGCACTTAAATAACTTTTTCTAGTAAATGTTTTTGGCAATTTTATCAAGTGAGATGTAAATATTTCTGTACTTAACTTTTAATTTTCACATTTTTTTTTCATTTTTCATTTTCAAAATTCAATATCCCTAAAAATGCACCAATATCCCATATCCCATTTATTTTTAGGACAAATATCCCATATCCCTAAAATTAAAATGGCAAATATCCCGTATCCCAATATACCCTATACAAGCCTCACCAAAGCAATCCGAAATTATGAAAACGACGACGACATACCGATACCATAAGTTTGTTATGTTTTAGTTCTTAAAATATGTCGCGTAGATTTTCTTTTTCTTTTTTAATTGCTTCTGGTAAGTAATATCTTAATTTGAAATTACGACGACAGCCACATATAGATCATACCGTTTACGATATTTCAGAGTTTAACGTTGCCAAGCGCACAAATCCAAGCAAAATAGGCTATGACG